CACCTCCTGCAGCGCTCAAAAAGACTAGGTCCGCGGCAGTACCAAAGGCAAAGGTCTCACCGTCAAAGGCCAAAGTCTCGCCGACAAAGGCAAAGCCTGCCTCCCCGGTCAAGAAGGCAACACTGAAGAAGGCAAAGTCCGCAGCAGCGGCTCTCGTCACCACTTCACCCAAAAAATCACCCGCCAAAGCCACTTCTGCCTCGCAATCAAAGGCGAGCTCCGCGCAGTCCTCTCCTCGCAAGCGCGCTCGAGCGGACAGCGACGATGAGGGTGCCACGGCGGATGCAACCAACCTTCCCAAGAAGGTGGCTCGGCCAGGTTCGCTAGAAACCATCGCTATCTCGAAAAATTTCACGGCTGATCATGATTATCGCCCAATCAGCCAAGTTGCTCCCTGACTTCCCATTGAAATCTCGCTTCACCACGGTTGGCCAAGTCTTTGTTGTGGGGAACGGAGACTGCGGGCAGCTCGGTCTGGGAGAAGACGTTTTTGACAAGGAACGACCGGGACTTCTTCGCTACTTTGACGACAAGAAAATCGTGCACGTACGAGCGGGAGGTCTTCACAGCTTGGCACTCGGTGCCGACGGCAAGGTACGGAACGCCGTCGTAAGGCTTCCCACCAGGCCAGTTTTCTGATAACTCGCCCGCAGTTGTACAGCTGGGGATGCAACGACGACATGGCGCTCGGTCGCCCCGGTCTCGGAAACGAACCTGGACAGGTGGTCGGTCTGGACGATAAGATTATTGTTGACATGGCATGTGGAGACTCGATCTCGGTCGCGCTCACAAGCTTGGGAGAGTAAGCATCGTCAAACCTTCTGATCAGTTCCGGTCACACAGAGCGGATTCTGATCGCTATTCCGCACCTTTAGAGTATATTGCTGGGGAACATTCAGAAACAGCTCAGGACCGTTCGGGTTTTACGGAGACATCAAATTGCAACCTGTTCCTTACCTCATGAAGGAGGTCAAGAATGTATTGGATATTGCTTGCGGAAACAACCACGTGGTCTGCCAGCAATACGGCGGTGAGGATGGAAACCATCGGGAGTTTGCGCTTTCGACCAAAGCCCTTATTCTGTCTCCATCTTAGGCAAGATCTACACCTGGGGCGACGGCGATCAAGGCCAGCTCGGTCACAAGATCATGCCGCGTCAATCGAAAGCCTCGTGCCTTGTGCCACGTAGCGTGACATTCTACCCTAGCGCCCTTCACGTCCCTGGCTCCAAGATCCGCGTCTCGCGCCACTACGAGCGCGTCTACTGTGGCGGATACTGCACTTTCTTGGTTCACGAGTCCCAGGCCGTGTTCACGTACGGACTCAACAACCACGGTCAGCTCGGCCTCGGGACGGACGACACTCCCATCTACGAGCCACGGCGCGTGGAAGGTTACGACGAGTCGTCCCGCCTTCGTGCCATCGCTGGAGGAGAACATCACACATTGCTTGTCGACGGTTCCGGTAAAGTTTCATGTGCTCTTTGTCTCCCTATCCCGGACGGACGCGCGGTGAACTCGAAGCTGACTTTCTCCTTTCTCCTTCAGGTTCCGTCTATGCGTTCGGTCGAGGCGAGGACGGTCAGCTTGGTCTTCCAGACAAGAAGCCACGCGAGAATGCCCTCGTCCAGATCCCCGGTCTCAAGGACATCGTCGACGTGAGCGCCAACGGATCCTGGTCCCTCGCTGTCGCAGACAAATCCACGGAGGACGGAAGCAACCTTTACACCTGGGGCTACGGTGACATGAACCAGCTCTGCAACGGTGGCGGAGACGAGGACACCCCGTTCAACGTTCAGCTCAAGGGACGAAGCGTTATCACTGCCGCAGCCGGAGGTCAGCACTCTGTCTATCTCATCGCTCCAAAGGACCAGTGATGGTGGTCATGTCTTTATCCCGATTCAAAAAAAAAAGAACTCCAGGTGGGATCTCTTTCCTTTCCAAACATCCGATCAGCCCACTCGAATATCCCTTTACCTTATCGCCCCCGGGGTTGGCATTTCACAAACGCAAACACACAAAACATATCACACAGGGATTTTCATTCCGTGTACGCCTGGTTGGCTCCCCGCGGTGGTTTTTGTCCTTTCAAGCCCCCCCTTTCCCTGCACGCACACTCACCCCCCCACAATCATCTTTGGCCTTCACTTTATTCGGCCAATGATAGTAACCGTAAATCGCCTTTTCTTTACGTTCATGTTTGCTGGCGGAGTAGACAGTTAAAAGATTGCGGCCGTCGACATCCCTGTGTGTGTGATAAAAAGGCGCGGATGAAAGAATTTACAAAAAGAGAAGAACGATCTCTCACAAAGGAGCTCTCTCTTCACGCGTCCATGATGATTCCCTCGACCATCTTCGTGATCCAGCTAGCGAACCACATGTGTCTTCCGACGCTCCTCATGACCTCGAGGTGGATCTCCAGGTCCTTCCTGGCGTGGACGAGCTCCTCTCGGTCGACCTCGGTCTTGAGCACGACGACAAAGACGAGGGCGCTGCGGAAGGCGAGGTAGAGCGTGTACCAGTCGATCCAGCGGGCGGTCGGGTTGACCGCCATGATCTTGCGGAGGAAGCTCGCGACGAGGGTCGCGTGGTATCGACATCGATGGTACGACGTCACCACGTGTGGGGGAAGGACGATCGGGTCGGTCGGAGCCGCGGTGGAGGAGGTGGGTGAAGGGATGGACGTGCCGAAGCCGTTGGATGACGGTGGTGGTGGTGGGTGGTGATGCAGGTGCCGAAGCTGATCTGCCGCACCGAGGACCGTAGGAAGGTAGAGACAGACGCTCAAAGCATGCACAACGATGTGTTGCGTAAGGAGCTGCCATGGAGGCGGGGATCGAGAAGTGCTGAGCGGGGAGAACTCAGTATACAGGTCAACTCTGCGACCCCATTCCGGCAAGGATCCGAGGATAGCTTGCAGCTCGACAGCAAGCAGCGATTCGATCTCCAGCGCGGCACGGGTAGCGGGAACGGACGGCGCGGGTGCTGCCGGGGGGACTGCTTCGTGTAGCGCAATGGAAATGGAAGGGTCGGGCGACCCGTGGAGTGATTGGTGGAGCGACTGAATCTCGTAGAAGACGCGAGCGAGGCGGCCCGACAGCGCGCCAAAGTCGATGTCGATGCTCGGCTGGAAAGATTCCAAAATGGGAAAGCCGTTGGGCTCTACGACAGAAAGCCATAGAGGTTCCGGTGCAGGTGGGTTTGTGGACGGACTTGTACACACCCCGTTAAAGCAGAATTGGTCAACAGAGGAAAGAGCATTGTCATCAATCAGCGGCGGGTTTTTCTGCCTCGGTTCTGCTTCAAGCCCAGGTTTCGGTTGTCGGTCGTACTGAGTATAGCTCAACATGAGTACTTACGCAAAGATGGTGAAAGAAAATTTGAACGTACCATGCATAAAGTCCACCAAAGCCGGCGCCGAGACTCTTTTTCGAGCCACGTGAGGGGACCATGTACATCAAAATCGTCCGGATCCACGTCGAGACGGAGATTTAACGCAGTCTGAATGGCCATGGTCATCAATTGTACGGAGGAGTCCACTGTCAAGACGACAGAGTCAGTCTCATGCTAAATATGGCTGGTAGTACATATTATTTGCAGCAGTGCCACACCTACCTAAGCCCATTCCTACGAACATAAAGTCAGTTCACAGAACTCTGAGGATTCTAAACTCTCAAGTTTATACCTGCAACAGCCTGGCCAAGAACAACTAACGAGAGAACAGTCTCATAGTCTGGCTGCCCGACGAAGCCTTGTATGAGCTCTCGAGCTTTGAAGAAATAGGGCTCCCCGGCCCGGTATAATGGAACGTTCCGAGAGGAAACATACGCCCGAGACACAGGATGATCCGATCTTCTCGCGGCAGCCGCACACATCGAGTAGATTAGCAAGGGGCTGTGATTCGGAAATCGGGCGTTGAAGGTGGTCTGGTGTATCGGATTTGGATACCAGACCGGCACAATGTCGCGGAAAAAGGTCTGTATGAGGTAGACTAGAACTTCTTCGGAAAAAACCGCCGCGCCCACATCTTCGGGTGGGAGTGACGAATACATGTTGTTTTGGTACACCGGCCAGTCCGGCGACGCAGGTGCAGTGTCGTGGCCGTACTCGTGAGCACGGCTCGACGGGGCTGGGGACCCAGTCATTACGTTCAGATACCGGATCTGATCGTCCAGATCGTACAAGTGCTTGTCTCCGTCAGGCGCGCTCATTGCCCTCGCCGCTTCTTCCACTTCATACAGACGCGTCTGGAGCATGTCCGTATACGGTACTCTGAGCGAACGTTCGTAAATCATATCTCGCATCGAATTCCGCCGATCCAGGTCACACACGACTCACTGTGGGGGACCTTGCGGGGAGATGGGGGCAACCGAGTCCCCTTGCGGTGGAGGTTGCGAGGCTTCACGGTGGGCAACATGTTTGAGAGGAGCGTCGGGTCCGGGAGAGAGGAGCTTGCCCTTTGCGCTCCTGTGCCCGTATGTGCAATCGTGGTTTCCTTTCGCACATTGATTGCATGCTGGCCGTGCACTGTTGCACTTATTCTGTTTCTCGGTGGTTAGCAGGCTGAACGTCACGTGGGGTACGCCCTCGGATGTCCCATACTTTTAGACGATAGCCTGCAAAACGAAGGTTACATCAGGTCCTGCATTTCCCGACGACAGACCTCTACAAAGGGCTTACATCTATCGCACGCCCAGAGCTTTGTCCCCGTTGATTTCAATTTCTGAGCTGTGATGAACTGACGCGATGGTGTGGCGCCCACGGATGATGTGGCAGCCGAAGCGACGGTCGAAGCCGAGGGACGCCTAAGAGACGACGACGACGTCGCCGTGCTATGGTGATGGTTGGTGTCGTGGGACCGATTCGAGGACATTGTGCATTGCCAATCAAGAGAAGACCCACAGATAGTAGTAATATTTGGGGGAAGGATCGTTAGGCGTGGCCGAGCAGGGGCGGACGCAACACACATAAGATACGCGAAAATTGTGTCGAAATATATCAACCCGCCTAGCACAATGGTAGTGCACTCGACTTCTAAATTCCTGTATAGTCGATATCGAGAGGCTGCGGGTTCGAGTCCCGCGGTGGGTGCTTTCCCTTTTTGTATTTATTTTCCGTCGGTCGAAAGCGCAGCTTACCAAGGTTGCCGGGCGAGCGACCGAAGCGGGGAGGCGGATTTGGCGAGCTCTGCAACGTGTGCAAGAAGAGCTTCCAGCGGGTGCGTTCTCCAACTCGTGAGGAGAGTGCCCGCCGCATCATTGGATGCAAATGGTAGCGAATTGCCAACTCGAAGAGTCTTGGCGCATCGTCTCTTCCCTGCATGCTCTCTCTGTCTTGTTTGCGACCCTCTCTCTTCCCACGGACCTGCCGTGCGACTCTCGCCTCGAGAGAATACGAGTGCTGCATGCTTCTAGGCAGTAAACGGGGACTCGTACAGTCTCATGCTACGTATCATTCTACAGACAGGTGGGGCCCTCTGGGCGAGCGACACCTCGAGGGCACAGCGACAGCAGAAGGTCATGAAGAGTCCCCATCGACCTCGCTAGCACCAGCGCTCCGCAGCTGCGTGATCTCCTTCTTTGCCCTTCGCAGCTGCGTGTACATGAAGATCAGCTCCTCTTCCAACGCGTCCCGTTCTCTTTCCACCAGCAGCACTGCGGGCACCCGCGCATGCACCACCGGAACACTGGCAGCTGACGAGCAAGATGCAGCGCTGCTCTGCATAGGTGGATGATCCTTTCTCCCGCTGCCTGGTCGGTTCGCTTCCTGGCCCACGACTCGGGCGGTCTGCGAACGCGTCCCTGGATCCCACTCTCCGGCGCTCTCCCGAGACGACGATGCATCGGCGACTCGATGGCGAGGCGTGTCCCGTGGTGGGGAACGGCCACGGGGCGGGGTTCTGTCCCGATTGGCGTCGTCTTCTAGGCAATTCTCGCTCGGTTCTTGGAGATCTCCCAAGGAAATCTGGTCCTGGTACGGATCGACGGCCCTCTGGTCCCCGCGCCCTAAGCACCAAGGACACGCTGCGCACGATGCTTTCAAGGCTTCGAGTTCCATGACCAATTCATCCAGGCATGGATCACGGCAAGAAGGGGAGGATACGGTCAGTGGTTGCTCGACGATAGTGCGTCTCAACACCGTGACCTCTTCCTGCAGTGAAGCGATGTCGCGATGGGCTTCACGGAGAAGGCTCTGCAACTGCTCGTATTTGATGGTAAGGTCGTCCCGTTGACGATGCGAGGCGAGTAACGTGGTACTTGTCGAGGCCGTAGAAGAAGACGGGGGTGGTGGCGGATGCTTGCCTGGTCGCGTGGCGCGTGGACAGGCCGGAGACGGCGGTATCCGTTGAAGGGTCATCAAGTCTTAAGGTTCCTCACGTCAAGAGGAGAATGGGAGCGGACTGAGATGTTCAGCCAAGTGAGGTCGACCTTGCCGTCGTCGAGACGAACCATCGGAGGAAACACGGAGCCATGACTCATTTCCGACACTCGCCGTGTCCCATTCATTGCCCATCCATATCGCAAGTGCTCTCATGTACAGTACAGTACATCCACTTCGAATGCGCTTCACCACCGCAAAAGGGATGGGCTGCGATGATGAAGTTCCAGGATACTCAGGTTTCTCTTCTGCAAAGTACAGTATACGTCATGCTTGCCCCAGGACGAATAGAAAGGGTGCAACCACCGACCTCATCGTTTGGGCTGCCTACGATATTTTTCTCTTGGATGGGGACGCCCCGCGGGCGTACTGTACCTTTCTCGCTACTCGTCCGCCTTATGCACTCTTCGAGAACTTCGCTTTCACATTGTAAAATGCATAGGACCGTGTATGCGTACGCCATAGGTCCACCAAAGTGACGTTCGTTCCTTCCATTGCAAACCTAAACACCACATCTTCTTTTCCCCTGGGAAATGAAGCCGGGTCTACGCACGTGAGTTCCGTGAGTTCCTTTCCCTCAGGAAATTAGGGAAGGAGACGGTGCGGGAGCGGGTTCGGCTCCGTTGCCGCTGCTGTGCGTTCGTTCAGCTGTCCGTTCGACAGACCCATCGCTTGTGCACTGCAGGGTTGGTCCTCCATCTTCGACCAAACCTTTCCACTGGCACCGAGGTGTGTGGGGAAGGGGAACACGCGGGTCCATCCGTACCACGAAGAGTCAACGCGGACACAGGCAAAACCCACGTTGGGCAAGCAAATACAGCTGACGCTCACGTTGTGTGAGCCTGGGAGCTCCTGCCACCCCTCGCGTGCGTCGCGAAGGTGTGCCTCCGATGCAACGTTCACTGTACAAGGGCGGGATGAGCTACAGTATAAAAGAGCAGTGTGCCTGGAAAGGGCCTCGTCTCTTTAGCCAAGCCCCCGCCCAATCTCTCGCAGGATGCACCACCTCGTATCCGTCATCACAGCCGCCCTCCTCGCATCCCCCCTGGCGCTGGCCGCCACGGCCTGCAACGGAGACCCAGCACTCTGCTCGCTGCGTTACGACCAAGTCACTTATGCGGCCACCCACAACAGCGGAGCTACGAACCTCAAGTTCGACTGCCACGCTCTCGCCAAGAGCTGCACCGCTGGGAAGTTTCTGTGCTGGGGATACGAAGCATCGTGCAACGCTTTGCTCCCTGGAAACTTCGCCGACTGCCTCTGGGACAACGTCGACGTGGACATCATTACCCAGCTCAACGACGGCATCCGCGTCTTTGATATCGACACATGCGCTCAGGACGACGGCTCCGTCGTCAACTGCCACGGGTTCGGCACGACGAGGGCTCTTGGACCCCTCGTGAGCAGCACGTTTAATGCCATTGCTGCGTGGGTGAAGAGCCACCCCAACGAGGTTATCACTCTGACCTTCGGAGATCACGGTAAATTTCCATTGCCATGATTGCGTCCTTCACGTCACGATCCTTTTAGAAGTCATGTTTCTCATCTTTTCTCGCAGACGGTGATACCACGGCGATGGGAACATCCATCAAGAACTCGCTGCAAGCATCCCTCGGCGCGCACATGTACACCCGTAACGGTGGAGCGTGGGCCACGCTCGGAGACATGGTCAGTTCCGGAAAGACGGTCGTCGCCATGCTCTCGCGTGGACTCGACACCGCGGGAGTTCACTACGACTGGGTCGAAAGCTACGACAACCTGATCGACGACCCTTACTTCGCCGTGCTCGCGAACGACGACAACGGCGGCCTGCTCCAGGCTTCTTACCTGAACAACTGGTGCACCAGGGACCCCAAGGCGATCTCAAAGTTCCAGGTCATCGACGCGACGTAAGAGTGCAAATCGCATGGGTCGTAATTGTCGGACTGTCACTCTTACCATGTCTGTGGTGTTCCTTTTTCTGCTCTGGCCAACAGCATCGCCTTGAACTTCCCCGACATCAAAGCCCAGCTCGAGAAACTCCAGTTCCCTCAGGAAATCTGCAACTCCCAGCTCGCCGGCGAGGTCAACTACGGCGTACTGGACACGATCGTCAACTTCTGCTCTCCCAAGCTCGGTTACATCTTCCGTGTTCGCATCGATTACTACCGCCAGTCCGATCTGTTCCCCGTCGTCGCCAAGCTCAATGCCCGGAACATCGCAGCTGCCGCCAGCGCGACCGTCAGGAAGAGCAAGGTCATCAAGAAGAAGACCGTCGTTCAGCCTTTGCACGCTTGAACCGCTTCGCATAGAGATTACATAGATACCCCTATCGATTGAAAGAAATGAAATTTGGGAGAGCGACGACGTTAGTGAACCGTTTGCTGTAAACATATAACTTCTATGAAGGAGAAAGTGAACAATGTCGGTGTTGAGTAATCTGCCAGCCGTCAGATCGTCCGAGCGCACTCCCATCACTGGCATAAGATGTACTCAGCTTCCCACTACGCTTGCCGCGGCTCCTTCGGGAAATTCGCACCCACATTAATCAAGCGGAGACGGTTAGCCACATCGCGCGTCGGTGCCGGCCAACACACGCTACGACAGCGCCCAAGGGCCAGCAGCACGGAACCAAGGTGCCAACAGACACGAGCGCGCCCCGCGAGAAGAAGCATCACGCAGCACTCAAGCATGGGATCGCGTCACGTCAGCACGCGGAAGGAAAGCATTGAAGGCGCGTATCCAACAGAAAAAGCGGTACTGATCGGCTCACGTCCATCAAGAAGACCTAGTCCTGATTGAGTCTCGATCTGTCGGATGATTTCAGCACGACTTCAGTGAAAAGGAGTGGTTGTGTGCGGATCTACTCTTTGAAACCATGAGCAGACCACCTTCCCGAGCGTTCGGCCGGGAGGAATGAGTGTGATGATGTCGTCTGTCCAGCAGATCGGACACCCGCGTGCAGGGGCCCTTATCACGCGCATGCTATCTTCTGTCAACCAGAAACTGACACTGAATGGCTCAGTGGTGGGTGCGTGCTCCCGTCACACTGGAGCACACGGGTTCGAACCCCGTGGGTCTTACTCTCGGACCCAGCTAAACGAAGGGAGCCCCTGGGGAGACGTCCTCAGCCAGTTGGCTTCAGACGTGAAAATGGGTTAATGCAGCCAAGCCCGTCCAAAGCCGAGAACCTCAAAGAGGGATGCAGATGGGCCTTTATTTTTTTCGACTTTTTTTCCGTAACATGCTCGCCGCGATGGACGCAGACTGGTTGGTTCCAGTTGCCTTGGTCCACATGGAGATTGAGGACTTACTCTCAGACATTCGTTGTTTTTGCTCAGACAGCACGAGCTTCCGCCTCTTATGAGCGCTGCTCCTGACATTTGCAGGGCTCTGGTCGATGACTTTTACTTAACTGGAGCCCACTGAGGGAATGCGTTTACAAGAAGATGTGCTCGACGACTGCGCATCAGGGCCGTCCATCACCCGTACCCTAACCCTTTGAAAGTGCACTCCTCTTTGACCTCGCTCTCGCAAACGATTTCGCGCTCGAGTAATTCCAAATCGCGGTTGGCGAGAAAACGGCAAAAAAAAGGAATGCTGGATTTGTTAAAGGGAACAGCACGATGTTGGGGGTGGGAAGTAAGAACTCAAAATTCTGATGGTAGGAGGCAAGGTGTTGCTCGTTGACAGCAGTTTCGATGGGAGCATCCTCTGGACGGTCGGTGACCAGA